CTCTCGTTCTGGGAGATTTATTTGTCTGATCACAGGTCAAGTATCAGCGCTGCGTTTGCAAAGGCAGGAGCAGTTCAGGCAGCACACAGGCCGGAAGAACAACTCACTAACATCAGCAAGAACATCATGTTTTATAACCCTTCAAAGACAGAGAAGGAAAGATTTCTATTGGCCCTAAACTGGCGTAGAGGAGGACCTTCCACCTCCCGCATCTAAAGATCCGGTCACATCCAATGTCCAGACTCCTGACTTAACGTAAACATCAGCAAACAGAGTGTGTATGTTTAATAGTGTTGGTGTGTCTCTAAACGCCCCTTTGGCTGGTAAATCTGCTAGTTGACCCGCAGACCTTGCATTCCTCAGCCAGGACAGAAACTGACTCCCCATCTTGTCAGACTCATGTCTGCCTGCTCGGCACATCCTGCTTCCCCCCTTACCTAACTCTTAAATCAAGACAAGACAGCAAACCCCCAACTAAGCCCATGAAAAGAACTTTTGATTATCAGAGGGTTGAATAGAAGAAGCATGATCATGGGGCGCAGCAGCGTACACAACCAAAGAATAGAGAGGCTGTGGGCAGAACTAAACAGTCGTTTCATGCTACTTCTGACTTATTTACCTTAATGGAAAATGAAGGGGTCAGCCGTATGGCCCCTCCTTAAATTTGGAATGCCCAGGACACAGAAGTAACACAAGAGAGAGATGTATAAAAATACTTTTATTTTGTATTAAAACATTGACGATAGTTTATATTTTAAAAGTGGTCTTCCAATAAGTTGAACATCCACCAGGAAAGTCCAGTCAATCCGGCCGTGCTCTGTTTGGTGTTGACCGTAGAGTTTGGTGTGACGTTGTGGCCAATGCCCCCTCACGACGAAAGGCTTCCCTGGGATCCCCCAGTGACGTCAGTCACGGCCTCCCAGAACAGTCAGCCACATATACCAGAACAGAAGGAGTAATTACAACTCGGTCCAATATACAACGCAATAAGATTTGGGTAGACAATTTACTTCTTTATGCTGCATATCGTGAGGGTTGAGTTATAATCCACGTTGGCTTCTTGTGGTACCAATGGATGTCAGTGTAGTTCCTTCTGTTCCAATCCGGAAATGGTAATAAGCAAACGTCCCTTAGCTCAGGAATTGTGAGTATCAATAATCCAACAACTGTGGCTCTCGGTGACGATGGCGTGATGGCGTGCTCTCGTCTGCTTCCATCCGTTGCAGCCCCGTTGGATTCGTCTGCCACCGTCTCGTTGTCCCTGCCGTGTTCCCATAAGTCAGCAGCTTCCTCTTTGCCCCTCAATCCCGTAGATCAGTTGGTTAATAATTGTCCAGGTTATCAGTCCAGGTGAAAGCGGTAGAGTGATTTGCTAGGCCCTTTGCTAACTCAAAGGATCATGCAATACACAGTGAACATACAAGTTCACAGCAATCACATAAATGCCACAGAACGCTAGTCACCGCAAACCAAAGGAGAAAAGAGGAGAAAATCCGACTGGTGGTATTGCATCAGATTCAGATCCAAATGCTAGGATGTCCCCCAACTTCTCTTCGCACATCACTGGACTGAAAGATTCTGAATGTGCTCCAGGACTCCAATCGTTTTCAACCCATCTCTGAACCTACAGTAAAGGACAGTATGGGAGGATAGGTGATTCAATGAAAAGTTTATTGTCTGGGTTGTGTTGTACATCAAACAAAAGGATTTTCATTTCACAACTACATTCAAAATACCTTTCAAATGGTCCACAGACTTGATTAATCATCTACAAGTCTATCCCTGTCGTCAACACTTTCAGTGGCTTCAGACAGCCTTGGCCAGCATTGGCGAGGTAGTCGAGGAGAGGTTGAGTTGACTGCCCACCCATTCTAGTTCTTTCCCATACATCCTTAGCTTTACCCCTTCCTTAATCCTTTTTCTGGTGAAAAAGACTGTTTGCGTTTTTTCCAGTGAGAACCTAAATCCCCAGTCATACCCACTCCACCATCTCATCAATTGCTTCTTGCACTTTCCTGACCACATGTTCGATCTTTCTTCCTTTTTTACTACTTTTGTAGTATATCATTGATCATTATTGTAAAGATGATTTGGCTAGGTGATTCACCTGAAGCAGCGCCACCTGAGACATCATGCAATTAGACATCAATATTTTTCCTTTTCATACGGTAGGCCAGAAAGACTTTATTTTCTGGCTAGGGTGGGGTTTTTGTTGGTTTTGGCCTTTGAGACCCTGATGCCTTTTGCTTCCGTTTCAGTTGTCGAGTTATGTGTTCAATAAGTCGTTGACAAATTATATTTACTGTTGCTCACGCCTTGTTTAACTCTGTCGTTCCACCTCGGCCAAGGCTACCCTGTTTGTGTGTTACACCTGTGCAACCCTAGGCACCCTAGGTTAATTTCGTCGACGAAAACTATGACGAAAATGTTCCGTTAGCAAATCTTTTTTCCATGACTAAGACGTGACGAAAACGATCTTAAAAAATAAACACTAGGACTAAATCTATTCTAACTTTCGTTAACGAGACGAGACGAACATGTTAGTGGTTGACGAAGTCACAATACTTTTTCCCCCTAAATTCGCCCGCAGCTGACAGACAACAGACCGGCAAAGTACGGCGGATATTAATGCGTCATGATGACGTCATCCACGAACCCAGAGCGCGCGCTCGCAGCGGTGGTTCTTGTGCACCGACTGCGGACCACGACGACTATTTTACGCTTTGGCGAGTTTGAACGTAGGCTTCCTTAGTTTAGCTCAGCTGTCTCGGTTTAGCTGCTGTTAGCAGGCTGAAGCCGCGCTGCTTCACAGAAACATGAAGACCCGTTTAACAGATTGTCGGACCTTTCTGCTCTGTTCTCTGGCGACGGCAGGCAGCGTTTCCTCGGTGGATGAGACGGTCCGTCACAAACACGTCTAACGTAATAAACTCATTGCAGGTTCTGAAGCCTCGCGCATTTCAACTATAGTTCACACGCCACATCGTGAGAAGACCGTGTTAAACCGTCTCGGCCACCGTACGCTCGTTACGAAGCAACATAGAGGCGCGCACACACGTGACAGGTGGCCGTGTCAAAAGCATTGCAAGTAAACAGACAAAGACAACAAAGTGTTGCGTTTAGATCCCTGGTCCTCATAAAGTTGTTACACCTTTGCCAATTTGTTAAATTGCCTTGCAAATAAATGCTTTGCTATTTGTTAAAATCCAAATCCTTTCATGTAATAATTTTTCACATGTCATTTATATCAGCTCACACAAACACTTCAACCATTTGTTCTTGGCCCGGCTGCTCCGTCACATTTTACAACCCATTGTGGCCCGCGAGTCAAAACGTTTGCCGACCGCTGCTTTAGACCTGTCCTAGTAGGGACATCTGATGGACAACCAAGTACTGCAAGCTAGACTATTATGCAGTTGTAGACACAACACAGGGGGTCCCTGGACCTGAGAAGGGAAGAAAAGGAGTTTAATATGGCTATTAAATGTGACTAAAACTAGACTAAAACAATTACATTTTAGTCTAGTTTTAGTCGACGAAAACTAGACTAAAACTAAGAAGGATTAAAATGACTAAATGTGACTAAAACTAATATGCATTTTGCGTCTAAAGACTAAGACTAAATCAAAAATAGCTGCCAAAATTAACACTGCGGACTCTAGAAAAAAAGGTCAGACGAGCTAATGCTAGTTAGCCAGCAATAGGACAATGTGAATAAATGCATTGCCACAGTTATCCTAAGCAATACAAAAAATAATTCATCTTTTTTCTTTGTTTAGATTTCCATGTGCTGTAAGTTCCCTCGTTTCATAGCGGGTACAATAGTTCCGCATGTCGTTGCCTGGAGCAGGTGCGGCTTGCATGCTGCTAGACTCTGGTTCGTAGAGAGTTCGCACATACCTATTTTTAGCGCAAATGCGAGCACTGTAGAGCTCTGGCCCGGCTCACATTGTTTATCTAGCTTCCCCTGCGATCGATCGACGTCCCAATCGGACCTTCTCTCAGTGACTGCGACACTATGGTGTCGAGACCGCTAATTCAACGTTCGCCTTGCGTCTGGTGCTTGCTGAAATGACAACTCACCGGTCCTGACGGTCCTTCACTGGACCGGTCGCAACATAAGTACGAGCTTGGTTACCGCTGCAGGACGTCAGTTAAAATAAGCTATCGCGCCACAGCGTCTTGCTATTTTGTCGCCGAAATATTTCAACTTTCATGTTTGGGTGTTCGCCTTCGTACGCGACTTCAGCGCAAGAAACGTGCCGCTCAATTGCAGATGCACTCCAGTGTCATCGGGTCTGTGCATATACTTTGCACGTAATCCTGTGGTGCAAAACGTTGACGTCGCATTTGGTGTGAATGCGCGATAAGATGCATGTATTTTTGACTGCTGGAAGAAAGCCTGCGAGCATCCCTATAAAGTCTGGCTTCAGACCGTGGTCCCAGTTTTCTTTAATCGGTTCAAATATTCTCTTAACTGGCTGATATGTGTAGGGTCATTGATAACTTAGTCTGGACCCTCCAGACTATTTTGCCTTGAGAGATGCTAACAGAAGCTTTCACCACCAACAGGACTGCTCTCAAGATCACTGGGACACACAAATCCCTCCACCACGGTAGGGGACACATTTGTATAGACTATTTAACTCACGTTCCCATTTCAATTTTTTCTTTAAAAAACTAAACACTTTAGTTATAAACATTGTAGCTAATTTACTAATTCTGTAACAGTGCCATCAAAGCTGTCAATGACCCCCCCCCCCCGAAAAAAAACTTTTCTTCCTCAAAGTATGAAACACATGGTTTTGCCAAAGCACAACACATTGTGTGTTGGGCTGTGCTTTGTATATTATCAAAAGACCCACTGATTGGATGACTGCGTGTCATGGTTGTGGGTTGTGACTTTGTTCTCTTTTGTTATAAAGCCACATGACCAGTGTAGCGCTCTTACAAACCTGTATATTTCTGTTAAGGTTTTGGCATAGGTCTTTGCATCAAAGATGTCGCTTGGGCTTTCTCAAGAGCAGTATTGTTTTTCAGGCTCAAATTCCTCCTGTTTTAGAGCACAGTTTAGTGTAGAAACCAAAGTTACTCTCCAATTGATTTTTTCTTTAGGCATGCTCATTACAATTTTAGGGAACTCTGTTGTCATTGTGTCAATAGGTCATTTCAAGCAGTTGCATAATCCTACCAATGTGCTTATTGTATCTCTTGCTTATGCAGACCTTCTCGTGGGTGTAACTGTGATGCCCTTCAGCGCCATCCGAACCATTCATGGCTGCTGGTTCTATGGGGAAGACTTATGTCTGCTGCACTCAAGTTTTGATATGTTTCTCACCACTGTCTCTATCTTCCATCTAATTTGCATTGCTATCGACAGGCAACAAGCAATATGCAATCCTCTGCATTATTCCAGGAATATCACAATCTCAGTGGCCTGGATTATGGTATGTGCCAGTTGGGCACTTGCAGCTATCTACTCCCATGGACTAATCTACTCAAAGGCCAATGTAGCAGGGATAGAAGCTCCTGGACAATATATTCTGCTTTTTCTTCCCATGCATTTTGATGGTTTGTCTGTACACTAAAGTATTCATTGTGGCCAAAGAGCATGTAAGAAAGATTGAAGATATGAGCAAAAGTTCAATGAACAAAGAAAGCGGTGGGTTAATTAAACAGTCTGAGCATAAAGCTGCAAAGACTCTGGGTATTGTGCTGGGTGGATTCATCTTTTGTTGGATGCCCTTTTTTCTAAATTCCATAATTGATGCCTACACTGGCTTCAGTACATCTGCTTTTGTCTTTGAGGCATTGGTTTGGTTGGGTTACTTCAATTCAACATTAAATCCAATTATTTATGCCTTATTTTATCCTTGTTTTAAGAAATGCTTTTGTCTCATTGTCAATCTGAAAATATTCAATTCTCAATCTTCAACTATAAAGGTGCATATCCTAACACATGTATGACAGTTGAGGATTTGAGTAGATATCCTCTCTATTAAGCAAAACTTTAAGATAGAGGTTTATTGAATGTTAGAACTTTTTCTCCTAGTGATCATCTCTACTGCAGTAGCAAAGCTAATTAAACATAACATTTTCTCCATTTTGTGGCAGGATGGGACAGTTTTGGGATTTTGGGTACAGGTGACCCGTCACAAGATTATCATTTAAAAAAAATATTTTTAGCATTTTATTGGGATTATTATAAAAATTGACACTATTCAAATAGAGTAAAGTTGAATTTAAAGTGACTAATTCTAAATTACTGTATGAGACATTATTGTATTATATTTCTATGGTTTATGTTGCCTGAACCATGTTTATTTACAAAGGATTGCATTTTTTTAAGGCTAGGGTCTAACAATATGGCAAGTTAATAAAGCAATTCTATCAAAACAATTTTGAATGTTTGCATGTTCAACATGGAGAATTAAACAGGTGATTACGTGAAATGGAAAATGTACATGTGAAAAAAAAATAATAATAAATTCATTTTGCAGGGTCCCATTCCTCATCTATGGTTGAACTAAGACGATGAAATGTCCCGTTATCCAGCTCAAAAGTAACAAGATGATTGATGTCAGGCTATCTTAATTCCTCAAAAGCTGATTCGTGCTCAAACAGTCTTGTTAATTTGAACCAGGTGTCAGTCATCAGGATAATTGCACGTGTGCATCCTACGTTAAAAGGCGGAAGAGTTGATCCCCGAAACCAGGATTTTTTTTTTAACAGTACAGCGGCAAATAAACTCATAATATATCTAGAATGGATGCTGTCATTCTTCAGTGTGTAACATGCAATGTTCATGATTACCAGTTCTCAAAGCCAATTTAGCAGGACCCACCACAGTTCTGAGGGCTCTCCCAAAAACTATCTCGAAAGGGCTAAGACCATGTTTGTTTCTGATACGCATGTGGCACAGCACCAATGGAAGTGCCTTTAGCCATGACATCCTGGTTTCCTTTACAACTTCTTATTCAACTGCACCTGCTGATTGCCGATTATAAGAACCGTGATGTCTGGTGTTAAAGCCCAAAAATTTTGAAATGTCATCAAAACTTCAACCCATTTGCTGAACATGATATGACAATGATAGAGCACTATCACCAAGCAGTATTTATTTTCCTCCTGTGGCACTGCTCAGGTGTTATGAGAGTCCAGGTTGCTCTGATAGTGGCCTTCAGCTCTTCTGCATTGTTGGGTCTGTCATATCGCATCATCCTCTTCACAATACCCTATAGATTTTCTATGGGGTTAGGTCAGGCGGGTTTGCTCTCCAATTAAGAACAAGGATACCATGGCCCTTAAACCAGGTACTGGTTGCTTTTGGCACTGTGTGCAGGTGCCAAGTCCTGTTGGAAAATTAAATCTGCATCTCCATAAAGTTGGTCAGCAGCAGGAAGCATGAAGTGCTTTAAAAAATTTTTTTACTTTCATCCGATATATAGATAAAAAAAATTGGACCACTCAGCAGCAATCCAGTCCTTTTTGTCTTTAGCCCAGACGAGACGCTTCTGATCCGGTCTGTTGTTCAAGAGTAGCTTGACACAAGGAATGCGACAGCTGAAACCCATGTTTTGCATACGTCTGTGCATAGTGGTTCTTGAAGCACTGACTCCAGCTGCAGTCCACTCTTTCTGAATTTCCCCCACATTTTTCAATGGGTTTTGTTTCACAATCCTCTCCAGGGTGCGGTCATCCCTGTTGCTTGTACACTTTTTTTGTACCACATCTTTTCCTTCTTTCGCCTCTCTATTAATGTGCTTGCACACAGAGCTCTGTGAACTGCCAGCCTCTTTTGCAATGACCTTTTGTGTTTTGCCCTCCTTGTGCAAGGTGTCAATGGGTGTCTTTTGGACAACTGTCAAGTCAGCAGTCTTGCCCATGATTGTGTAACCTACAGAACTAGACTGAGAGACCATTTAAAGGCCTTTGCAAGGGTTTTGAGTTAATTAGAATTAACTCAAAACCCTGGCCCCAGGTGTCTTCAATATTAAATCTTTTCACAATATTCAAATTTTCTGAGATACTGAATTTGGGGTTTTCTTAGTTGTCAGTTATAATCATCAAAATTAAAATAAATAAACATTTGAAATATATCACTCTGTGTGTACTGCATGAATATAATAGACACGTTCCACTTTTTGAATGGAATTAGTGAAATAAACTTTTTGATAAAATTCTAATTATATGACCAGCACCTGCATGTGTGTATATGTATATGCACTGGCAAGACATTGTGTGGGAAGATCTGCATAAGTGCTGGGTTCTGAAAATAAAAATAAGTGGGCAAAAAGTATCTTTGTGTTGAATATAGTTTTGACTCAGTTCAATGTCTTTTTTTTTGGTCCACTTATTTTTTATTATAAATATGTTGTATTTTTCAATGTTCAAGACCAAAACTTAAACTTTCAGGCTCACATTTGTTTTTCTGAAGAGCAACACTTTTGGCCTGAATTTGGCTTTAAAAAATGTCACATTGTTTTATGGCTTTTTTTCGGCCAGGGCTGCATGCTAAGCAGCACCGTTCTTCTCCATTTCCCTTGGTTGCAACTTCAACTGTTTGAATTGATTCTTAATTAAACTTCCTCCTTGAAGGAAACACCAATTCAACCCATTTTTGTATTTGATTCAAACTGCCTGGATAACATTCTGACAAAAATTGACACAATGGTCATCTCATGGTTTGCCTTTACTCTGAACACTACTGTTAGAAAAACTGCAAATAATGTGTGTCATGCTATCAATAAGGCTGTACTACTCAAGGTTTTTGCTAACCTCAGCTGACAGACATCTTGTCAGCCGAGATTAGGGGCGCTGGCCTCGGGAGGGACATTCTGTCCCATGAGGGTGAGATGATGGTCAGATGTATGTGAAACAGCATATTTTAAATAATCAGTCCTCTGTACGTGCGTAACCATCCCTATGTTTTGTTGCCATATCTGCAGTATATATTCCTGCTCCTAAGAGGAAAACCTTGGAGTCAGCTTGGTACATAACTTGTATGTGTGTCCATCTGTCTCCTGTTTGCAAACATTAAATAACCTGTTTTGATGATTTTAAGCCAGTGTCAAATGAGAATTTTTCTAACAACTACCAATCTCAAGTTATATGTCCATAAGAGCAGAGTGTGCGTCAAGGAATTTTCAAGATTTACCAGATGCATACAAGCTCATAAAATACCACAGGCATAACTAAGGCAAGTCAGTGAGGTCTGTGTACCTTTTTGATAGTCCCTTTTACCGTAAAAAACAGAAAACGAAAACACTCTTTTCTCGTTTTTTAATCAAAAGCGGTAAAACGGAAGGGAGCATTCGTTTTCCTGTTTTTCCTTTTAGAACCAAAAAGCGAGACAATCTGACATCTTTTTAATTAATTATTAAATAATCCTGTTCCAATGGGATGTGTTAGCAACAGTAGTGACTACATCGCTGTAAAAAGGATTTGAATAATAAGTCATAGTATTGTTATTCAACTTATCATGATTTATACAATTACAACTTAATTGTTTTCAGTCCTCCAACTCAGGTTTTTAAGCCAGTTCAACAAATTATACAACAACAAAACAACAAAAATAGTTGTAAATTTCATAATGTAAACACCGACCAGGATGAATGAAGCAAACTCACGGGGGGGAATAAAATGGTTTGCAGTTGATGAAGAAAGTTTCCAGATCAGGAGAACAGTGTTTTAGGATCACAGTTACGTTGTTGCACCAGCTGTTGTTGAAGTAGAAGCAGATTCCTCCACCCTTTGTCATGCCGGAGAGCTCCGTGTCGCGGTCCGCTCTGAGCAGCTGGAAGCCCACCAGCTGGAGTCCGGTATCGATCTGCAGAGCCACGTCTCTGTGAAGCACAAAACAGAGGATGTAGAAAAGTCTCTGTCTCTCCTCACCAGCAGCTGAATTTTAGAACCAAAAAACAAGACAGTCTGACATATTTTTAATACATTTTTATAAATAAATAATCCTGTTCCAATGTGATGTGTTAGCAACAGTAGTGACTACATCGCTGTAAAAAGGATTTTAACAATAAGTCATAGTAACTTCTTTTTGTTAACACACAAGCACGTTTTTCAGCGTTCGGTGTAATGGCGTCTCCGAGCAGTAAAAACACTGAGTTTTTATACACATGAAGACCATCCACAGTGCCAGTTACGAGAAGCTACAAATCAAGTTGAGATAAGAACCCAGATGAAAATGAGGGTAACGCACACTGCTCCTTTGTTCGAGCGTCTGTGAGACCTAGTTAACTCCCTTCTTCAGACACAACTGCAAACCTTAAATCTTTCTGTCTTTGCACATTACGGTCACATACGGACACTTGAGACACGGCTTTAGCACAAGACAGTGTTATAACAGACTTTACCATTACATGCATCTCACAATTCCCCTTTTGATCTCTTCAGAGATCACCCCAACTGTTGGAGGACGTCTGCTGGATCAGCCTTCCATCTGAGTTCTGGCCTCTTTTCCAGGTTTTTTTGCTAAACTAATACGGAGAATTATGAAAGATAGAACAGAGGAGAGGACAGTTATACACTTATTCTTGGTCTTCTTGGTTGTAGACAGTCGACACAGATCACCATGCTCTGGGCGTCTGTCGGTCAACTGCCTGTTGAGAGTGCGTTTGGGGACCCTCCGGTGCCCATTGCCGCCTCTTGATCCTTCAGGATGTCCTGGAGAGTGCGAGCTGGTTCCTCTGCGGGGGCACACTCGCTCCAGTGGTACCAGGTATCACTTTTCCCTCTCAGCCTCACTGCATGTGAAGTTCTCTCCTCCACTTGGTATGGTCCTGTCCACCGTGGCTCTGACCACTTCCTCTTAATGACCCTCAGGAGGACCCAGGCTGCCGTGTGGGGGTTGTGGGCGTTCTGATTCCCTGTTTTGTCTCGCACCTGGTCTGCAAAATCTGAAATGTGAGCTCGTAGATCGTTATAATGACGTGCATACTCACCTGGCGGAGCTT